AAAGGGGAACGTTGCTCGGTGTCTGCTGAGAGGGGAACACGATTCTCTTCAAGCCTTAACACTGGCTGAAACTCACAGTACTGTAAGATGCACTGCCAGCATATTTGGTATTTTAAGATAAATATAGTTTTTCCTTAGAGATCAAATTCTAGTATTGAAATAGAGTCTTACTGTAACCCGTTTACTCTTGCGTTGTGCTCATGTTTCATACTGAATGCTCTGCTTTGGAGAGTTGTCATCTTCCTTTTCCAGAAGGTATTGTTTGTGACGGTCAGTTTATACGCCTGCCTTGTGGACATTACAGCTGTAGGCATTGCCACGAGTGTCCCTTGTAGCCAAACCAAAGTTGTACTTCCCTTCTGTGTTCATTGGCCTGCCACTCATAATAGTGGATGTAATAATACCCACTAGACTTCTAGAGATGGGGTTTAAAAAAGTTGCTGCTATATTTGGAAACCTGGTATGGGTCATGTTAATTGTGCCTTTCATCACGTTTCATCTGTGTGCCAGAGTCATCCATGTATATTTGAAGTAGTCATTAAAATAAATCTGTTCTCAAGTCCTTTCACAAAAGGAGGGGACAGTTCTCTATCTAGAGACAGTTGTTGCTTTACCATCGCAACACGATTAAGATCCCTACTTTCACACAGGCCCAAGGCAAGGTGTTCCAATATTATTCTTAAATAAAACTGCTTTTCGGTGTCACTTAAAACCCTCATAATGTAGAGCTTATGCCAGTACATGCAAAGTATCTGCAGTAAGAGTTATGCTAAACAGACTTGGTGCAGTTAAATTTAAGCTATGGAGACATACAAGTAATTTGTTTTTAGGAATGTACTGCAAAAGTATTTGAACAGAATTGCTAACATGTTTACTGTTGTAAATATTTTAATTAAAAAAGGACACTTCAAAATTTTTTTACAATTATCTACAATAAAGAGAAATTTACAACCATTTACAAAATGTTCTTATTTTCTTCACTGTCAAGACAGCTAGGATAACAAAACAAACATTAGATACGTGAAGTCCTGGTTTTATTTCACTCTGTATTTATAAAAGGAACAAAGCATCTTGGTGAAGTTCCATCCACACGCTAATGAGATCAAATAGAGTAGGATGAGAAGTGCAAACGGATACAAAAGAATAGCTGTGTTCTTCAAAAAGGGCAATGCTGAAACAGAGGCAATGAAGCAAGTTTAAAGTAGTGCTTTTTCAAAAAAGGTGCTTCACGGAGAATGATAGCAAGGAAAAACTGTTTTACCTTTTTCCTAAAACTGTGAAACTGTTTTACCTAAAACTATAGCCTTAAACTCACTACAGAATTTTTATCCAATGCAAAACACTTTGAAGTGGATTTACAGAGGAACAAGAAAAAGAAATTGTGATCCTACAGGTCTAATACAAGAAGGGAAGTTGGTATGGTGAAGAATATAAATTCTTTGGTTAAGATGTCCACCCAGCTGGAAACACGGATTGGTAAAGTTCTATCAAACTTCTTTTACCACCAAGAAAGAATTACTTTGACACCCAGCTAAGCCTCTGTTTTAAAATTAACAGACTAAGACCAAATTAATAGACTAAAACCATCCTCTCGTTTTTAGTCAAACAAATAGAAAAGAAGTTGCCATTACTTACCACTGTATCCTAGGAATGTCACGTAGATGTAATAGCCAATTGCAATCAGCCATAATGTATTCCCCACAAAATGCCCAATGACAGAATCAGATATGATGACATCTGAAAGATACAACTGCTCTCAGCTGTTTTGATAGAGCATGATTTTGAAGCAGAGCACACCAAATATTCTACTTACAGTTGATGAAAAACAGCTGGATAAAATGCAAAATGACTAGAAGTGGGTAGAAAGCATTCAGATGAACATCAAAGGCATATCCCCATTCCACATCATAGTCTCTGTGCTGCTGCTTCACCAAGTACTTATTAGAAATGAACCTACATAAACAGATATTTGAGAATGTTGTTAATGTGAATCTATAAAGCTGACTGACAAAACGTTGGTTTGAGGTAGTGAGCCATATGTGATCCTAACTCTGTACCCCGACAAAATAACTGCTGGAAAAACAACTGGGAAAAAAAAAAGCAAGAATTACGCAGACCAGACTATCGTTTTTGTTAAAACTATAATTACATTCCTTGCATTCAACGGGCAGCTGAAATACACTGCAGGTAATACAGCACCGGAACTTTTTTTTTTTAAATAGATCGGTGCTACAATTCATCACTGCAGTTACCGGTTCTCAGGCAGCGTGCCAGCGTTGTACACACACAGAGATGACTTCAGAAAAGTCTCATAGGCTATTGCTTCACATGCGCATTTCCTCACACAGAGGTGGTTTATTTCATCTCTACAGAAATGGCACACTTCAAGGACAGGAGGAGGGCAGGCTAACACTCTGAAGATGAGCCCATTCTTCTTACTGAAAAGAAGCACTAACAGAACGTGCACTGCCTGGTGTTACAGGCTATAGACTTTGCTTTCTTCAGCTGAAGTTCTGCTGACACCAGAAAACGTATCCCATTTAGACGAGGAACAAGAAGTCAATACATGCTCAGAAATAAGAAGTTAAGAGACCAGAGCTTTCATGGTCGCTTTCTCTGACATACTCTTTGTGCTACGGGCAGAGTCAGAAAGGCAGAGCCTGGGTGCAAGGTGAAGCGAGGCAAGACGGGGTTTAGACTCATTAGGAATGGGGGAAGCTTTTGAGAGAAAGGTGAGCCTGCACTGGAAGAAGGGACTTGAACCAAACTGGAGCCAGGTGACTGGCGTTTAGGCCTGTAGGAAGCCGACTAAAGGACAGAGGAAAACCAGCAGATGCTGAAAGTCTTTCTGGTTCAGGAGACTGCATCCCAAGTCACAAACTGCTGGAGGACTGGGGGGGAGGCACTATGATATGCTCCTCCCCGAGCATTTTATGGGTTGCTGTCCCAGACAGCAGGACAGTAGATCAGATGGATCTTTCATCTATCCGCTACAGTTCTTGTATGTATCTCATCCGAAATTTTGCAATTACAAGCAGGAGTTCCCGAGGTCAGTGTTTGAAAGGAATCTATCCCTTTTCCGATCGGCATCAATTTAATATGTCAGCTCCACTACTAAGAACTCTTTCAAGTGCCTGTGCTTCCTTGTAAGTTTTCATTTTCCACCACTACCATGAAAAAGTTCTTGGTAAAATAAAAATTCTTTCTTTGGTGCCCTCCCATTGCCACAGTGCAGAAACAGTGAGTTCCTGTTGGTGCATGGTTCCCTTGCTGGTGCAGGACACATCTGTAATGTGCTGAGGCCTGGGTTAGAAACTGACTCACTACTTTTCTCTCCCCTTCTATAAGTCTCTGGCCATTACAGGATAAAACTGGCAGCGACTACCACCAAAGCAACAAAGCCAACATGCGTGAAACAGAACAAACATTGCTTGTAGTGGAAATAGCTAAAATCTTCAGCAAAAAGCATGGGCCAATTGTATATTGCCTACTTAAACATAATCATCCTCGGGCTTACTTTAGGTAAGCTGTTCAACGAAAATAAGAATTGTTTTTGATCACCAAGTTTTTGATTTGGAATTATTGCTGAAGACCAACCAGCCCAAGAAGAAAGAAAACAAACTGGAATGTTCATCATAATACAGACTTCATGCACATTCATCTTCTGCAGGAAATAGTAAAGAAAAGGACGTGTTCTTTCTTTAAAGCAACATTTTGAAACAATTACCACAACAGCACAAAACCTATAGTCAATACATACTTTGTAATTGTGCCCCAAACAGAGAACCAAGTGTTTTGCAAACAGCAGAGGACTGTCGGTGTCCCAACAGCAATACCGAGCTCAGTTTCAGACATCACTACTTACCACATTAGAGTTGCGATCAGGAGACCAACACCTACGCAGTCTATGAAGACAACCCAAAGTAGCAACTTTATTGTTTCAAAAAAACCCATGTCCAGCACAAATCCAAATCCTACAGTAGACACTGAAAGGAGAAAAAGTTTATTAAAGTTAGCTATGGAAAAGAAAGCATGAGATCTTAAACGGATTTTTTTTTTTGAGTATGCTGTTATGAAATCTCCCTGAGTTTTTTCAGTCCAACTGCTCATTTCTTCCACCAAATACTAGGTATAATGCAATTTATTCGTAATATAATCCCTTTCACAGATTGGAAAACACTCATCTGTACTCAGGCTTAACGATGTAACAGCAAATTGTATTGCTCCCCTCTCAACTATTTTTTAAAAATTCGCACAGTGCTACAACAGAATATTCTTTGTTTTATAAAAGCTCCTTGTTAACCCAAACCATGCATGTGGTGATACTTTTATTTCAGAGTTAACAGTTTTGATATTACTAACAGCAATGCACTATGTAACAGAAGACTACTAGGATAATACTTACTGCATTTGCAATTGAGTCTAAAAATCACATGAGATGCTTTGTTTATAGCTTAATTCCGCAAAATACAGAATTTCACAAACAGTGTTTTATGTGTAATGTTCAGATAAACCAAACGTTCAGTATTTTTTAACTAAAGCACTACTGTGGGGCATGGGGTTTTATTACTGTCTGTAAAGTTACAGGCAGCTACATAGCTTGAAACGCAATAGAAAATGAGTTGCAATAGAGAGATTAATTCAAGACTACATAGTATTAGTTATGCCTCCTCTGTTTTCTAATTCCCACCTTAACTTCCAAAAGGTTAGGCCATTTTCTTCTATTCTACTTTGATTAAAAGATAATCCATATGGATTGGTCCTTTTTTGGTGTGTGGGGGTGTGTGTATGTTATTAGAAGGGCCACGAATGTTCATCCCTAAACGTTCCTTCCCTCTCTTTTATGCTGTCTCTTCCCCTGTACTCACCGCAGAGCCAGATACTGAGAAGTACTAAGAAAGCAGGATCATCTCTGGCCCACTGGTCCTTTGTCTGTTTTCTGTAGTGAAAGTTCCTATAAACCCTCTGTGGTGAAGTAAACAGGTAAAGCATCTGCCAAAGAGCAAACTCAAAGTCCATCTGTCGGAAGTGGAAGAGCCTCCGCAGGTACTTGTAGCGTTTTGCTCCCGCTGTATGCCTCGCAGCATCTCTGGGGCTCAGCGCACCATTGCCTTGGCTCCGAGAATTAACTGAAGTGGTTGGCAGCATTTTGCTAAAGAAGGAATTGCAAAAGATGCATTTGGTTTTGCACGTAACAGGGAATAAAAATAAAATCACGCAATGCACGCCACATCTGTAATACTGAAGGTACAAAAACTACGCACAAGTATAAACTATGACATTTACAGGCGAGTCTGATATAGCCCGGCAGTCACTTTGCTGACTGCTGGGGAGGCAGCAAGTAGGAAACCAAGAGCAGGCAACTCTGCTTCCAGTACTGCCTGTCAGGTAGCCCCATGCCTGCGGCCCCCGCCT